ATCATCTTTCTTTCACTTTCGTTCCATTCAATGCCTATTGAGGTCCACGTTCAAAATCCATAGCTTGAATAATGGTTTTAATTTTTAATAATTTTTGATTAATAAAGATAACTAACTAATAATTAAAATTAATATTGTTAATTTTAATAACGTGTTTTACGTAAGATTATCCAGTTATTATCCCGCTTTAGTTCGAACCTATCTGTCATTAATTATTTCATTATTTTTATTTAAATACCATCAATATGTTCTTCCAGTTGAACATTTAAATCAGGCAATTCATATAAGTTTAGATATATCAACATATGTAGAAACATTTAATGAGCCTTAAATAATTTATTTTTAAAAATAATTTATCCTTTAAAAATAATTTATCCTTTAAATAATTTATCCTTTTGTATTTCTTACGCTTATTGATAGATATGTTGACAAAAATTTTTTGGATTTTTCTTCCTTATTTAGTTAAATTATTTTTACTACCTTTATAATTATGTTACACCAAAATTTTTGAAAAAAATGATAAAAAAATAAATTTTGATAAAACCGCTTCTTTTTTCGAATTTTAAATGCCAAAATAATGTATTTTATCACATATATAAAAATCAGACCAATTCATCCAGAAAAACTCGAGATCTTAACGAAAATATGGGTTCATTTATAATTATGTTACACACCATAGTGCAAAAGTTAGTAGTCCGAATTCGTGTGTCCATTACACGTGTGTCCATTAGCTATATAGCTTACAACGTATAGTTTGGACAGATACATTTAGACTAAAATTTTGCAATCTCTTAAGCTTTGTAAAAAAGTACAATAATCAGATCTTGAGTGAGAACAGGAGATTGATCATGGGTGATAGCTCGAAATTGGTGATAACTGTGTTTTTGAGTGTAGGATTGACCTAATAACCGTATATGAGCTTTTATTGATATCATTTTTATAAATGAAACGTTAATGTATAATAATTTGGAAAATTTAGATAACATTCAGCAACAAAATCAAGCTGAATTGCCCGATTTAAATGTTCAACTCGAAGAACATATTGATGGTAATTAAATAAAAATAATGAAATAATTTATGACAGCTAGGTTCGAACTAAAGCTAGATAATAACTGGATAATCTTACGTAAAACACGTTATTAAAATTAACAATATTAATTTTAATTATTAGTTAGTTATCTTTATTAATCAGAAAATATTATAAAATTAAAATCATTATTCAAGCTATGGATTTTGAACGTGGTCCTCAATAGGCATTGAATGGAACGGTAGAAATGAAGGATGATATATTTAAATCAAAACATTTGAAATTCTAAAGATTAGAAATTATTAAGTAAACTAAAGTTGGAAAAAATTTTTATTGCAATAGCTTTCGCCTAAAACAAGTATTTGGTATTATATTTTTTAAAAGTATAATTTAGATAAATTTAGATAAATATTTTTTACTTGATTGAAAACTTTTTATTCTAATTAACTAAAGGGAAATCTATTTGAAACTAAGGATGTATCGCGAAGTATATATCGGGATTTAAACAAACATTAATTTAAACAAACATTAAAAGGAGTGAATCTTTGTGGATTTTCTAAAAATGTTAGAAAATTTTCCAAATTGGTTAGTCAAAATAAGTTTGTAGTCCACTTGTTTATACAAAAACTTTATATAAGATGATTTTAAGCCGACAAATATATGCGCTCATATATTAACACGCGATTCTCTAAGACACGCTCGCATATGTCGAAATACATGCTTCTCTATAATCGCGTTAGATAGGTTGAGGAGGATGGGATGATGGGGAGGAGGGGATGATAGGGAGGAGGGGATGATAGGGAGAAGGGGATGATGAGGAGGAGGGGATGATAGAGAAAAGGGGATGATGGGGAGGAGGGGATGATAGAGAGGAGGGGATGATGGGGAGGAGGGGATGGATGATGGAGAGTAATTTTTATTTTTAAAGGGGGAAAATTTTTTTAAAAGGGATAGGGCAAATAATAGCTATTTGATTTTCAATAATTGATTCTTTAAAAATATTATTGCATTTAAATTGTTTATTACTAAATAATAATCTAAAAAACATATGTATTTATCTGAGATGTTTCTACGAATTCCGTTTATTGACTATGTATTAATTTGCACTTTTATCACTCAAAGTCAAATGAATTTAAAATAGATGTTTTCTTGAATTCAAATTAAAATTTGCCATTGGCATATGGGTAGCATATTGGCCTTGTATATGCTACTATAATCTTTCGATATCCTTTAAACCAATTATATTCTTAGAAACCAATCAAATCCCCTTATATACCTATATATAGCTTTAATCCCTCCAAATTATCTCAATCAGTACAATTCTATTAGTAGTCATTAATCACTCAAAATTTTTCAGAATTATGAATAATTATTGAATTTCCATCTTAAAATTCTAAAATTTTTCATTGATTTCCTATTTAAATTTTTATTAGCTTATAATGTTTGCCACATAAGACTTGATAGAATTTTTGAAACTTCTGATTTTTGATGTTCCCGCTTTACAACCTCTCTCTCTGCTATATAAATTTATTTGTCAGTGCAAGCGATAGAGGGAAATAGAGAGATGATGAAAGAAATACACGTGAATTAAAATCGAATTCAATGCTTTTAAAGTCGTTAGCGATTTAATACACGTTGTCGCGCGTTATCTCTCCTCTTAACACTAACTTATATAAAAGTCTTGTAAGAGAAATAAGGGGACCTCGTTCAAACTATTTCTTAATTAAATTATTTATTATTATTATTTTTTAATTAATGGGAGAGAGTTACCTAAAAGACATTGAGCGTGAATAAATTTATAACCCCTGTACTGTGCTTATATTTAGAAAATTTGCCTCATTTTTGCGGCATTTACAATGCTGCCTGCATTTATAAAACCTGAAGACTTAAGTAGAGAAGTTTTGTTGTCTAATTCAATTTTGGCTCCAAATTTCCATTTTCAAGAATTAGTTTTTATTTTACCTTAGTTAAAAATCTATACGGTCAAAATTTTGCAAGGAATTAATTTATTTTTATATGATTAATTTTAAATAATTAATTTTTATTACATAATTTTTAAAAGATGAAATTATCAAAATTTGTTATTTTTCTTTTCTTTATTTATATTTTATTTAATTTAACATATGGATTTTATGAAGGAGGTAGAAATTTAAATTCAATTTAAATGCTTTATTAATTATTAAAATATTTTTAAGAATCATCAAATCCTCAAGCAAATCCTCAACCAAATTTTCAACCAAATTTTCAACATCCAAACTTCGGTGCTCATCCTGGTTATGTTCCAATCCCACAAAGTTGACCTTAAATTTTCTTAAATTTATTAAATAGTTATTTGTAAATTTTATATTAATAATGCAAGTCTCTAGACAGTCTCTAGCTATTTCTCATTCAGCTAGTTTAAAAGATTATTCAGCTGTTGGGAGATAACTTTAAACACGACGCCTCCTAAGTAAATTTAGTTATCAAATAGCTATATGCTTTACAATACTAAATAGTAAAATTTGGTTTACTATTAGCAATGGAAGAGTCAAAACATTTGAAGGTTATAAAATCATACCAAATTATTTTGTAACATATCTTATTAAGAAAATTTTAGATTATTAATTAAATTTTTGTGATTTTTCAGCAAATGTTCATGGCTATCATATTCTAACTCCAACTCAGCATGGTAGTGTATTTAGTTGAATTTATTTAAGAAAATGTTTTTAAAAAATATTAAGGTCAGAAACCAGGACATTATGGCAATTTAATTTCTTTCAATCAAAGTGTTCCTGGATATGCTCCTTCAAGTAAGGCTTATGTTATCCCCGATGTACTCTTTTTCTGGGGTTATTTTGTCGTATTATTATAAGAAAATAAAGGATTTAGAATCCGGTTTTGTATCATGAGAACTTATCATAACTAAAACATTTGATGATATGGAATTTAAGATAATGTTCGGTAGAATCGAAAATAATATTTTTTGTATCTAAAATTATTATAATTGAGGTGGACTGCCTGTTGGTGAAACTAGGAACAATATTATATCAATTAATCAAAATCATCCTGGTCATGTTAACCAGCATCAAACTTCTCATAATCCTATACGTAAATATGCTAGTATTTCTCCAATAACTAATTTAACTTTTGCCTATTTTTAGAAAATGTTCAAAACTATAATATTCTAAAACCAACTCTACCAGAAGGTAAAATTTAAATAAAATATTTGTATGATATTATTAAGATCAAAAACATGGAACGTATGGTAATTTAATTTCTTTCGATCAAAATGTTCCTGGATATGCTCCTTCAAATAATTCGAATGCTCCTGGATATATTCAATCAAGTAATAATTTTAATTTATTTAAATACTTATTGATAGTTATGTTTAGGGATCGGATTTTTATGTCGTAAAAACCTTATAATAGGTACCTAAATAAGTTGTATAATAAGCTAAAATAGGCGACAATAATGGGGAAATAGTTATGTGAGTCTCTAATCTCTAAAATTTTTATAATGAAGGTGGACTGCCTGTTGGAGGAGCTAGCAATATGATAGTAAATAATCAATCTGACCATTTCAATCAACAGCAACCTGTTCATCTTACTCAACAACAAACTGTTATGCCTAATATGCATCAACAGTATCGTTTTAATCCTTTTCGTAAGCTTCTTCGCTATTTTAAATTTATTAAGATTGTTTTTAAATTTATTTTACAACTTAATTATTTTAAATGTTTCGTTCATTAAAGTAGCTTATCACTCCTTAAAACTTAAATAAACGTTTACCGTACGAGCCAAATATTTATCTTTTGTTTTAACCTTCCAAAGCGTCAAGTAAATTGAATTTTTCATGTAAATTGAGTAAATTGAATTTTGTAATTGAATTTTGATTTGGATTGGAAAGAGCCATTATTAGCTTGTGTATTTTATATTAAATAATTTTTGCTGTTTCGAAAATGTCTGAGTTTGTGACTTGAACAGTTTAGATAATATATGTATTGCGTGGGCTACGCACTTTGCATCCCTCTACCAAACTCCCTTCAATGTTAAAAATTATAATTTTTCCTTGTTTTTCAGAAAATGTTCCTAACTATCATATTCTAACTCCAACTGAACAGGATGGTAAATTTAGTTTAATTTATTTAATAAAATATTATTATACTTTTATAAAGGTCAACAAACTGGGAATTATGGCAAATTAATTTCTTTTGATCCAAATGTTCCTGGATATGCTCCCGAAAGTAAACTTTAATTTTATGTATAATACAAAACAAAGTAGAGTATAGTGCCATATTCTACACGAATTTTTTATTTTAGTTAACCGACAAGGTGGGCAACACTAATGGATTGCATAGGATAGCAAAAGAAGCATATGACAATTGAGAATTTTGTTTAACTTTTTCATATAATAGTTTTTTATTTTCGGTTTTTTGGTATTTCATTAATCTGTACTGAGACACTCTGTTTTAATTATTTAAAATTCAAAATGCTTCAATTTTTCAAAACTTGATTAAAATTTAAAATCTGTTTATAGTAGATTAAAAGTAAAGTAAAAATAAAAGTAAATAATTTCTACTTGTACCTGTTTAAACTTGCCGTTTTCATTTTCGTATTTTTCTTTTGTCTTTTCAATTATATATTAGTAGAAAAAAGTTGGAAATATAAACCTTCCATTTTTTATAAATTTTTTATTATTATTTGCCATATTTAAATCTTCCAACCTTTTGTGAAAATTTAAAGACATTTTTAGATTTTTTCGTAAAAATATGGAAGAAGAGTTAAACACTTAAATAAATATTAGTAATTAAAAATTTATTTGGAATTTAATCAGGATGTAAATTCTGAGATAAGACAAGAGATATAGTTTTAATTAGGGAAAAATTTTGATCTTAAAAGACAAAAGATATTTCAAGCCATGGCTGAGAAGGATGCCTCAACATGGGATGTCTGAACATATAAAAGCTTTCGAATAAGCTACACCAAGTATGGTTGATTCAGCTTATCGAAGAGCATCGACCCATACAAGGGCGTCACAGATTTGACTATTTTGAACCAAGTTATGGAAGGTTAAGATTTAACTTTTATAATCATTATATTCTAAATTTATAGGCTCCCGGACAATGCGTCAGTGGAAAATGCGTAAGTGGACAATCAGTCAGTGACGATATAAAATGATTAAAAGTGATGATATAAAGAGATAAAAATTCACAGATATCCCTCCAAATCGGCTGATCTCCATCTTAATCCAACAAATAACTTAATATCTCTGTTAATCCTCCCAAACCCGAGATATCGGCCTTAATCCCAATAAATTCCTCTATATCTCTTTTAAACCCCCAAAATCCCTTTTTAACTACTCCTAATCTGTTTATATCCCATCTTTAATCCTTTTATATCACTTTTTATCCCTTTACATCATCACTTTTAATCACTTTATATCAATACTGACCGATTGTCCACTGACGCATTTTCCACTCACGCATTGTCCACTGACGCATTGTCCTGACACGAATTTATATAATCTAAAAAATGAAAATTCATTTGCTAACAACTAATAATGAGAGGCATGATTTTTAGGTTTTTCCCTATTCTCATTTAATTCATTCAGGTTTGAGAAGCTTGAATCATTTCTTAGTTCGAATTATGTCATATTAATTCCTTTATCTCACTTTAGTCGTTTGAAACTCAATCACTTTGTGGGATCTCGAGAATGATACTTTGCTTATCTCTATGTAAACTAAATCTTTTACAAGAGTTGTTTACACTAGTGCAAAGGCGCACTCTTTAAGAAAGCACTTGTTAATGAATTAAATAACGGAAAATATTAAAGAATATTTTCAATGCGTAATTTTGAATAAATGTCTAATTTTTTAAATTTCTCAACATATTTTTTTCTTACTCAGTCATTTGTCAAATGAGTGTGACTAGACTTGCACTTTCCTTTGTCGGCAAATATTAATCGAGGGAAAGCAACGGCATGTTTGTTTGCAATACCTCATTTCAGAATTTTAATATAAACAATAATTGTCGACGTTGCCTAAAGAATGTCTGTGTAGGGCAAGTAATTTTAATAGGCTTTTTAATTTCATCAAAACCAAATATCCTTCAGTTTTTCTTCTTCTTAACTTATTGACTGTGAATGCTCTGAATCCTTTGCTACTCCTCGGTGAGTTCGGTTGATTTACTAAAATATGAAATTAAAAAGCCGTTAAGGGATTTGAGGGAATAATTTTTTACAGAAAGGGTATTATTGCGGCGATAAAACATGTTAATAAATTAATTATTTTGTAATTTTTTCTTATGACTTTGACAATTTGAAATAGCATGTGTATTCATGAATTAGACAATTAGACAAATATGGAGCCCTTTAATCAATTATTCTCTATTTCTCTAGCTGTGCAAATTTGTTAATGAATGCTTTATGTCTATGTAAGGCAAATATGCAGACAGTCAAAATTCTTTAAGAGGCCATTAAGGCAAATCCAACATAGTGACACTTCAACAATCATAATATCGGCTTTTTAAATGTTTGACAAGTAATGGCTAGGTCTTTAATTGTCTGAAGAAAAAGAGAAAATAAATTTTAATATATTATTCGAGATTTGTTTATCATTTCTTTTTTCATAATAATGGAGTTTCATGCCTCAATGTCAGGGAACTTTAGGCGGTTAGGAGTAGAGCTACATATCTCCTGGATCCACACATTTCTAATTAAATTTAGAGAATAAACTACAAACCTTGTGATGGCAGACAGTAATACCCGCAATCATAAGAGATGTTGTTTTATTTTATTAAAAGGGCATGTATACTTTTGATTTTTATTTTTATTCTTACCGCTTATTTATGATTTCTCATAAAATAAATCAAAGAGTAGCCGGCCCGATAATTTTTTTGCTTCACATATTCCTGTGGTTGGGGACATAATCCTGGCGTTGCCGCTTTATCCACTAAAACATGCCTGTTAATTTATTGCGAGGAGGGCGTCTTCATTGACTGTCTTGCGTTAGTCGCTGCATATTAAGCGCGCGTAACATCCTTTATAGTGAATGCTCTTTTAAATTCAAACATTATTTTTTAATTTATTAAATTAGATTTTATTTAATTTTTATTAAATTTTAATTTTATTAACAAATATGAAACCCTACATATTTACTTAAGTAATTACACTTTGTAATTATTTTTTCAACATCTCGTTGTACAGCGGGATTAATAGAGGTGTAGTAATATTTGAGTGATGCTAGCGTTGTTGTTATTAATGCTTAGCTTTTTGAGTTTTTAATATTTATCTGAGTTGACGAGCCCGAAAAAAATATCGAATCGTTCTTTGCTGGCAATTTAATAAAACGGAATCAATCGTGTTTTTAAAACAATTTAATAATTTTAATTTTTAAACTTTTAATTCTATCATATTTTATTTTTTCTTTTTAAGATAAATTTGGATTGTTAATTTTGAATTTTTTTAATTTTGAAATTATGATACTTTACAAACTTGTAATGTTCCTATTTTCAATTTGCATTTTATTTGAGATAATAGAATGTTCGGATAAAGGAAAAGTTATCACTGGCGCTGAATCTACTGGAGAAGAAGGGGCAACTGAAAATCAAGCTCGTAGAGGTCAAAGAGCGCGTGAAGGTGGACCATCTCGTGTAAGTGGACAAAGTCAAAGTGCTTATATTCTAAATCCACAGGAATATCCTACTGATCAGGAGAGGTTAAATCATATTCGTCAATTGAATCGTAGTATAAATAATCGCCAGATGGAAAGGGAAGAATTGTTGAAATTTAGCCAAACTGTCTTGGATTTAAAAGGCGAAGAGGAAAGAAATGAAAGAAAGGAATTCTTAAACACTATGAAAGGGATTGCTGACCAGAATAATGAAGAAATGAAAAAATTTATAAGCGAGAAAAAGGATGAATTCTTGAAATATGGGCGAGGTAATAATGATAATGACTTAAGAATCCTGCTGTTGTGTATGGGCGTCAGCCCTTAAAGTGTTTAGTATAAAAGCCAGTGAAAGCGTCAGTCTATTTGGATCATACTAGCGGGGCTAGTCACTGATCTCCTTCGTCTGTCCCATTCCCTTCGCCTACACATTGTTTATTTCTTCGTGTGATAAAGTGTTATTATTGTGCTCGTAGACTTTAGTTAAACCTCGGACACCTCGGGTCGTAACAAATGGCGCGGTCGACAAAAAGTGAAGTGTGGCGAAGTGTAGCGAATTGCTTTGGCAATTAGTGAAAGGTTTTGATTGTGAGTGGACAGACGTCGTAAGTTAGTGATCGGCATGAGTCGAAAGTGAATTGAGTGAATTGTTAGTGCGCATGGACCTGTTAGTTAGTAGTGACCTGAAAAGGACTCAGTGTGTGTGCCATTGGTCAAAGTTTAAGGCTGAAATGCCTAGTTTGAGGCTGAAATGCCTAGTGGTCCTGGAAGTGCGCAGATTTTGCCGATCAAGTTTTGAAGTGTCTGGCATTCAAGAGAATGTAAGTCCAGAAATTGAGAAAAAGGAAAAGTGTAAAAAGAGTGAAAAAATTTGGCAGCCTAAAAGGTGGGTAAGACCAAATAATGAAGTGAATTGTTAGTGAATAAAGCGAAGTTTGGCAGCCTAAGGGTGAGTAAGACCAAATAATGAGATTTGAGTTGAAAAAAAATGAGATTTGACCTTTTTTTATAATGAGATTTGACCTTTTTTTTTGACCAAATAATGAGATTTGACCTTTTTTTTCAAGGGGGGAGGTGTTGTGTATGGGCGTCAGCCCTTAAAGTGTTTAGTATAAAAGCCAGTGAAAGCGTCAGTCTATTTGGATCATACTAGCGGGGCTAGTCACTGATCTCCTTCGTCTGTCCCATTCCCTTCGCCTACACATTGTTTATTTCTTCGTGTGATAAAGTGTTATTATTGTGCTCGTAGACTTTAGTTAAACCTCGGACACCTCGGGTCGTAACACCTGCGCTTATTTATAGTAAAAGAAATAAAATTTTAGGGAAAAAAGCCAAGAAAGTTTCAAAGCCAGCTGGTGAGGGAACGGTTAAACCAAAAAGAGGAAAGGAAACGGCATTAACAATTAGAGACCCTGAAGAGATGCAGCCAAAACATGTTCAAAGGAAAGGAAGAGCGATCGAATGTAAGTGCCTAGCAGGGGTGTGACATTCTTTAAATAAATGCGAAAGAGGGAGGTGAAAAAAATTTGACAGAATTCGGCGGAAGACAGAAATGCACTATTGAGATTCTAATTCTCTATTACAGATAATTATTATAATTAGTATTAGTTAAATCTTTACATACTCTTAACCGATAGTAAAACCGACCTAAAAACAAACAAACACTTAATTTTTATTAAGCACAAGGTTTGGGAAAAAAGCCAATGTTTGCTGCACTTACACCTGGTCAGATGTATATGGATAGTCATCTTGCTTCACAGCAATATCCACATGGACATTATCTTCCTCCATGTAATTTTTATTACGTTTCAACGTAAAATACACATTACATTTCCAAACAATTTAATATAAAAGCCAATTTATTAAAGCAAAAAAACATTTTTAGTTATACTATGGGGACACGCCCAGAACACAGCAAAGCCATAACCTCTTATATGTATACTTACACTTAATAGACTAGAGTTTCACAACAAATTGCTTGATAATTTCAGATGTTATGAAAGTATAAATAATATCATCTATTTATTTACAAGCCTAAATTTTATATTTATAAGTATCTTTGTTTGAACACAATAAATTTTATTACATATTAAGCACAAGACTCGGGAAAACAGACAATTTATGGAGGAAAAACACAGAGTCAATTGCTTTCAGCTATTCAATTTGCTGCAAAAAACCATCCACAAGGATATCTTTTTCCTCCGTGTAATTTAATTTAAATATTTTTCTTATTAATTTTTTGCCACAGCTGAATAGTTTTTTTCTTAAACTTAATATAAAATTTAGATAATCAAAGTGCATCGTCTGGAATGCAATCGAATCCTGGTAAATATCATGTTATGTTTTGCTAAAACTATTTATTAAGTAGGCAATCCAACTAATGTTTTAAATATTCCTAGTGATGAAGAAACTGAATCCGATAAACACGGAGACAACTGAGAACAAAATTTAAATTGAACTGAACGTGAAGCAAAAAATTTGTATACAGAGTGATGTCAATGATATTCTTCGTTTCTAGAGAACAAATTGTTAAATGTCCAGCTCTCTGTACAAATGTCCGCAAAAAGCATTCGCAAAAAGGCTACTTTTGTTGCATTCGCTCCTTTCCTTCTCCTTCGAATGATTGTGAGACATTTGGAGCAACAAACGGAAGGGACACTGTATTTCAACTGAAACAGAAAGTGATATAGATTTCTGATTTAAAAATCTAATATACCGTATTTTTTTAATGAATGGCCGCCATTCCACTTTTTCAAAATCCCAAAAATAGTCATACAATTTGAGGGACTCCAAACTGTCTACCAATCATTTGAAAAAGAAGGAACGGTGTAAATGCAGCAAAAAATGCCTTTTTGCTGAATGTATTTTGCGGACATGTGTACAGCGATCTGGACATCTGCCTAACGAATTTTTATTCATTCTTAGATTATTTAAATTTAGAATATAAAGATATAAAAGTATTATTTTGTCTGACGGCACTAGATTTAATGAGATCAGAATATAAAAAGTTACATTTAGCAAGTTCGCGCAATCGTTAATTAGCTATATTTTAAATGATTTTTTACCTTTTTAAGGTAAAGGTAAAATTCATATTCATTTTTTGAGCAAGAATTATGGCGCGGTTCTTCTGGACTTCATAAAATAGAAATTTCACGGCGTAATAATTGCTTTCAATTTTAATAACTCGGGACTTCTTTCTTATTCGTTGACAAACTTTTAGGTTGTCTGCGGGTTGTTTCTCAACATTTTTTTTCTTAATCAGACATTTGGAAATGATTGTGATTAGACTTGCACTTTCCTTTGTCGGCAAATATTAATCAATGGGGAAAAGCAAGGGCATGTTTGTTTGTAATACCTCATTTCAAAATTTTAATATAGACAATAATTGTTAGAGAAATAGAGAAAAATATGTCTGTGTAGTGAATCGTAAGAATTCGCTATTAAATTAATAAGTTAAAAATATTTGAATAGGGAATTATTTTAAGTTTTTGTATTAACCATTCAATTAAGAAATGGAAATTTCGAAAAGTTTAATATTTCTTTTTATTATTTGCCTATTGTTTGAAGTGACTGAATGCGGGAAACGTAAAAAACTGGAAAAAGAAAATGATGAAAAGGATGAAAGAGAACGTAGAGAAGTAACGGCCGAATTCGGGAAAGGAGAGTTAAGGATTGACGAAGCTGAAGGATTGTCTCATATGGAAGTTGAAGGAGAATATTTTGGAAGTCACTTAGTTGAAGGACAAGGACTTGTTGCACATGAAGTAGAGAATGAAAACTCAAAAGTTAATAAGAGTGTAAACAAACTTTCCGCGGACTTTGTAAACGCTTTTAAAAAACTTGTTTTACAAAAAGAGGGAGAAATTGAAGGAAAAACATCATTTATCAAAGAATCTGAGAACAATAAGAAAGCTTTGGAAGACCTTATGTATCTTCCAAACAAAGGAAGTTTTGACGAGTTTCAGCCAAGTCAGTAGAAAATTAAAATTTCTTATCCATTTTAATTTTGATTTAATCTGGCTCAAAAAATAGTTTAATAACTATATCATTTTATCTACTTTGATTGTATTAAAAATACACAGGTAGAAAAATTAGAATGGGTGACAAGATAAAGAAATAGAAGCAATGAGTGAAGGAAAAAACTTCCTTATCAAAAAAGATGAAAGCACTAAGAAAATCATGTCAAATTTGATGTATCCACGAAAAAAGGGAAATTTTCAGCCTTTTAGTGGGTGAAAATACCAAAATTAATTAATATATTTTCATTTAATTAATTTTTTTTAAGAATGGACAATGAAGATTGGACAAGATAAGGAAATAAAAGATGAAAGTAATAATACAGCTTTGCCAAGTCTTATGAGTCTTCCAAACAAGGGAAATTTTAGCGAGTTTCTGTCAAGTCGGTGAAGTTTAAAAATTATCTCTCATTAATATTGACTTAATCCCGGGTTGAAAAAATATGATTTCTTGGGGGTTGATATAACTATGCTATATTATTCAAAAATAAATAAGTAAAAAAACTTTTCAGATTTTAAACAATCGACTGACCATAATGAAAAACCTTATGCCAAAAGAGCAAAAAAAGAAAAGGGAATTGAATTTAAAACCCCAGTTGTAGAACCAAGGGAAAAAGAAAAACATCAAATTGGCAAAGGAAAGGGAAAAGGTGTTAATTTAAATAAAGTAATTAAATATAATTAGGATCGTCACATGGCGCGTTTTTCAAATTTAAATACACGCCAATTACAGAAAATTATTATAAGATTGTAAAGGCCAAAATCCTATTTTCATATCTTTTTAACTCCACAGGCGAAAATTTTTTCATTTTCACAAGTACAAGAATCCAGAGTTTATACATACTTTTTTGTAATGCAAGCAAAAATTCAGGAAATTTAAGCAGGAAATTTAATTAACTTTTTATTTTTAACAAATTTCGCAGAAATCTGGCCCTATACATCGTCCGATACATCGCGTTCTTATTACATAAGAATTTTCTTGGATCATTTTCGAAATATGCAGTTTTGTGGACAGAGTCAGCACAGAACCTGGTAATATTCAATTTCGTTCACACCACCTTTTTCCTTCCTCAAAGTATTAAAAAATGGCCAGTCTATCTTAAGTTATAGAAACGACGAGCTGTGTTGAATGACACCAAAATCAAAAAAATTAGACTTGATTTGACCGAGATACACCCCTGAAAATTTAACAATCATAGGGGCGAAAAACCATAAGGACGAAAATTTACATAAATGATAGCTCATTCGAAAGAGCTCGTCGAGTTGAGTCGAATGACACTATAATCAACGTGATTGGAAAAGATTTGACAAA